CGGCACCCCCGGCACCGGGAGGAGGCCGTGGCGCGGCGGTGGTCGTACAGGCGGCCCCCGAGCCGGGAGAGCTGTTGCTGTCCCCGGCGAGACCCCCCTTGCCGGGTGCTGCGGGACAGGGGGTGTGCGGGACGGGCGGTCGGTGCCAGCCCCGGAGCGCTGCACTCGGTCCGAGCGTGTTCGCTCCCAGCAGCAGGGAGTTGACTTTCTTCGATGCGCCGGGGGTCAGAGGGTTGGGAAGCGCGTTTTGCTGTAGATGGAAAGATGCACGGAAAGAGGCAGTGGCGGAGCGGAGCTCCGGCGGTCGTGCCTTGCCGTGGGTTTTCGGTGTTGATCGCGAATTGAGGATTTTCTTGGTAAAGGGCTGAATCAGCTTTTGCCAACTCCGACGCTGTGCTGTTGTGCGACCTTGATTGTAATGTGGGTGGCCGGCAAGAGAGACTCGGAGAAATTGGTACACGGTGAGGGAGAACACCCATCCAGTTTGGAGAATCAGAACACCAGCAAAGCTCAGCTCAGATGCGTCATTTCGATATTTTAAAGTTTATTTATAATATATGTCTTCTAAGATGTGATTGATGAGCCAGCTAGTTCAAGAACAGACCAATTACAGTTTCTTTCTTGGAAAAACAAAGTGGAGACTCCACGTCTTTTACTCCCTGATCTAAACTTAGTGACTCCCAAGAGATTAGGGAGAGATGTTGTTTGTTTTAGTATCTTGTCTCTTGCATGAATGACAAAGAGGATTTGTGCTCCTTATGGATTAAAATTAACAGAAACACAACAAAAACAAGCTCCTTTAAACCAGTGTCCCTGTCATAAAAATTTCCGCCAGTCCTGCTTTCCTGCACTCCTCCTCAAGTATTCAGGTAGCCAGTCTTAAATTAAAACTGTAACTGCATTTTTCAGGGAAGCGCAGTTGGGTGAAAAGAGATGCCTCCTGCAACATCTCTCCTATCAGTCAGTTGAGTAGACAAAAAAAAAAAAAAAGAAACAAACAAAAAAAAAACTTGGATAAACATCTTTCTGGCAAACTACTCACATGATCTAAGACAATCTTTCAAAAATAATTGCATTTATAAAAATTGAAACAGGCTCTGAGAAATACAAAAGCCAAGGAGCCCACCAACCTTTCCTTGCAATAATTTGGAATTTGGATAAACGTCCTATTCATCAACTGCACTTGTGCTATTGCTTGCTGTTCTGTGGAAGAGCAAGCAGTAAACCTTCTCACATTAAAGCTTTTTTCCAGTTTTCCCAAAACTAGTTTTTTTCTAGGGCTCCCATCAGCAGGTTCCAATGGGAAGGGCAGGTATGGAGTGCTCACTGGCATGCCAGCCTTCCATCCTTCCCGTGACTGGAACTCCTTCATCTTTGAACCGCTCCCATGATTCCCTTCCCCATGTTGAGTCATAATCCTTGCTCTTATCTTCAGTCTCACAAGCCATTCTCTCCTTGACTAATTCTGCAATATTGCATCGTGTTGCTCCCCTGCCCCTGCTCCATCTATAGCAGCAGTCATGTTTTTCTCACATCTCCCAGCCCCCTCTTCACTCATTTGTCCCCACAATGACTTAGTGTGGCGTAGCTTTCCCTCCCACCTCTGCATTCCCTCCTTAGGCCCTGCCTTGAGACACTAAAGAGAATCAGTCAGAGATGATAATCAAAGAAGCATTTATCTTATTAAAAACAAAACTAAAACAAAACCCACAATCTTTTCTTATTAGCGTGGCAGACAGCTCTGTGACAAAAAGGAAGGGGTTGTTCTGTCTGAGGCTTTTGACATAATTAGAAAAAGAGCAGAAAGGGTCATGATAAATAGCAGGGTCCTGTTTTCTCTGGTTTTGTAAACATGGATCTGGATTAACTCTGATGTGAATTGCACGGAGCTGTCCTGGGATTTATGCAACGGTGTTGAGATCTCATCTCATCCCTCTAGACTGCTTCCAAGAGAAAAGCTCTTGCCACATCAGCAGGCGTTTGGAGGTCTCTGCGCCTTTTCAGTTAACTGCACTTTTCTTTTAAAGCTTTCCTCATTTTTACCTGATTAAAAAAGTCACAAGAAGGCCACCCTCCAGGGACTGTATTAATCCTCTTTTCCCATCCCACTCTGTAGAACATGCTTGTGGACTGCTGCAACCCCATGGGACTCTACTGAAATACTAAACAGTTCTGACCACGTGCAGATTTATTCTTCCACTGTATGCAAAGCAGGACTAGGATCACTGTTTCTAAATGATCTCTTGGATTAAAGAGAAATATGCCACAGGCACAAACTTCAACAGAGACTGCAAAAGGAAACCACCAGTTACCACTTTCTGGTTTTTTTCCCTGAACATTTGTGGATCAGATTTTCATTTCCATAAATATTTTAAAACCTTTGTTATTTTTGCAGAACATGTTCACATCAAATGCACATATCCATAAAGTCAACTCTACGTACTTTCAGAGCAGGGGGTAAAATCAGCTTGAAGTCCAGGCAGCAAATGTCTAGACTGGCCAAATGCTCAGTGTGTTAAGAAAGCCTCATGCCAAACAACCAGCCAAGTTTCAGATAGGTCWAGAAAATGTGTTCATGGTACCTCCAGCACCTGGAGGAATGACTGGAAGAGCTAGGGAGCAAGCCCTGTGGATCYATCTCTGAAGGTGATCCCTTTCCAAGGCAACCTCTGTGCCACAAACTGCCTGGCTGGCGGGTTTCTAGTTACACCTTTGCTGCCAAGGTCTTCCAAAGCCAGTCTGGGGCCACAGAGGACTCAGGCAGAACAAATGAGCAGTAAAGTTTGAGGCCAGATTCATTTAAATGACCTGGCCATAGAAAGGTGGGGCTCTTTCAAAATCCTCTTCTCCTGCCACTGTAAAGGCGGCTTACCTTGAACTGCAGAATGGAGTACTATTTCATAATTTTCTGCCAGAGCAAGATTGTTCCCTAAAGCATATTTTCTAGTAATTTTTTTCTGCTCACCTTTACAAGACACAAGTAATAGCCTTCATTTCTTTCATGAGAAGACTAATAGACACCAACAGGGGGATTTCTTTTCCCTTGAAAAGGAGCCAGATGCCTTTCTGGTTTTTTTCCCGATTCTATCTTGCTACTGTTATCTGCTGCTTTATATTACTGTTACTATTCTATCTTCTTGCTGTAGTCCTTAACTGTTTCTCTCCTCCTCAAGGCCCTCAACCTTGACTTCGGTCTTTCTTTTTCCTGGCGGATTTCAAYCAACTCACAATATCTTTATTTTTAAAACTAAGCCTTTTAAGACAAACCCCCGTCAATGTAATATCTGTGTTCCTATTTATGTCTTCTAACAACGACACATTTTACCCAGTGACAGGAGAAGGGAAACAAACAGGTGATAAAGCCCATGCTTTTAAATGTCAGTTCTTTCCTGACTATTTAAAAATGATCCTGGGAAATTTTTATAGAGGTTCAGGATAAAATATTGAGAAACAAATCAACTTTTCTCTTTTTTTCTTTCTTTTTTTTTTTTTCTCCCCTAAAATAATGTTTTTAAAGTAGACAGGAGCAGCAAGTGACTGGTCATGTATAGGGTTAATCTTGTCTGCAAAGTAATTGAGAAAATTGTCCACCATTTTCTGAGGACACTCTATTACCAGCCTAAGGTAGGAGAGCCTCCAGGGATTGAGAAGCAGTCGATAGCTCTAAAAAAAGACAGAGCAAGCCTTTGGTTCTAGGTGATATTAAGTTAGAGCAATAAGTCAATGTAGCTTTGCCATACCAACACTGTCTTCAGACTTACATATGCAAAGCTGCTTCTGGTCTGCAAATGAAGCAGTCTCCAAGCCTGCTCAATGTAACCCTTCGCTGTGTCCATCCTCTCCCATCACACTGCCTCCTGCGAGACTGCAGTGAGCTCATAGGATTCAATAACCAAGGGCCTGGGCAGGGCACAGTAGCTGTAGCTAGAAGTTAATAGTCACTTCCTAATCAGTTGTCAAGACCAGTGCAGAGGTTTTGCCCCACCTCCTCCTGTCAGCACAGTAAATCTTGTCACGCCTGTAGAACAAGGAGGTACCCGAGGTGTGCCCTGGACATTGCATGGGAAGGACACTCTTCTCACAGGGCTCTTCTTGAGACCATGCCTGGCACCCCAAGCCCTCCCGCAAGCAGTGCTGGAAGAGCTGAAACAGCATGGAGGATATTCTGCTGCCTGGGATCACTTACTTTAAAAACAAATAAACCTTCGAAGCAGACAGATTTATTGCTAGTCATGAGAGATTACACAGCCAAGTCACTTTGATTCATTAGAGTGTCCAGAGAGTTTGTGTAAGTTCCTGGAAGCTGTCTGGGATGGTCTTTAACCATCCTCTTACTRTTACCTGATGGTGAAGGGGAAAGTTGGAAAGCACTTGTGTTGAATTTGTTTTTCCCTATGTTTGGTAATAGATTTAGACAAGCTGTTTAAAGAACTGAGCCTTCTACCTCATGCTGTGCTGAGCTGTTCTTCCAACTCAGCTACACGTAGCCTTTTCTATTCTTTCCTCCCTCCCTATAATATTTAATCAACAAAGCCCTACCTCCATTTCCCTGAGGCCAGAGTAATGCGTCTTTCTGCATTTAGAAACCTCCTACGCATGTGAGCATGTCCTTTGTGCAGTGATGTTGTTTTAATTAGCCATGTCTCTCTTTTTGGCTAGAAATACATGAAATGACTGTGTACAGCTTTCCTGCAGCCAAGAGGCAGTGCAGCCCCCTTGGTGTCCAGCTGTGGGTACAGGGAGAGGCACGCTGGCTGTGCTGGGGGGAGAGTAGACAGACTGTGTGCCCGGAGCTAGCAGGGGAAAAGAAGCAAAGCTTGGGCAGGAGAGAGAAGTGGGGAGAAGGCTACCCTGGGTGACCCTGGGGATAGGCAGGGAGGCAGAAGCCTGCCTGAAACAGATCAGAAAGCATGGCATGAGGCATCCTCTCTGTAATGGACCAGCATGTTGTAGAAAAAAGCTAATTAAAGAAGATGATGTTAGGCCAAAACTATTAGGACAATAACCCACCTGAGACCGAACTGTACAAGACAATATGTGAGCATAACTGTCCTTAGCTTCAGCAGGACACAAGTCTGCCCCAGGAGGTCTCCTAATACTTACATTCAAAGAGCTTGTTAGATAACATGCTTATTAATCTTTTAGGCTTTGCTTTGTCTCTTCAAAATTGTATCCAGCAAAAGTCATTCAAAAAGAGCTGCCTTAGAGACCTCTGGAATTAACACCTCTCAAAAGCTTCTGTGATGCTCAGCAAATTTCCTTTTCCTTGGGGACTGACTCCATTTTGTAACTCTTTATTTTACCAAATTTTACTGAATATTCCTTAAATCTCTGGTTATGTCAATACTATTGATGGTAAGAAAAAGATGCTGTTAATAAATGTTCCTTGTCATGACTGGATCAAGCTATGGAATATATTGTATTCCAGTACTGGCTAGATCACTGGCCACGTGATACTTATGCTTGGGTTCTGCAATGCTTCACCTTCACTTTTATTATAAGCCAACAGTTCATGTTACAGAAGTTAACAATGTGGCATTTCTATTTTAACCATGTTATTGGTGTGGTCCACAGGTGATTAAAATGTGGGTTCCCTCTCCTCTTGGCAGAAAGTGAGACATGCTGTGAAATGCTCTCTGAACTTCCAAGTGAGGCTGGCAAAGCAGAGGAGAGATGTCCTCTGGCTTTCGGTTCTGCCACAAGGAAAACGAACATAATCCTGACCCTAACTGTCTTGTAATTTTTATTAGCTCTCTTTGGCTTGCAGCAATGACCCTGTGAATAATGCATGCTGCTAGATGGCTTTCCTAAGGAAAGAAGGCTTATGCAATCATATTGTCTGCCACTGCCTGCCTTCTCCTTATCCCATAATAACTCAGAAGCCAGCTGGCCAATTTCAACCAAATTTAACAGAGGGAAAGAGGTCTTGAAGAAATTGTGCTAAATTCAAAAAAAATTTTTAAAAAGGGACCATGTCGGGAAGAATTTTTAGGAACATTWACTCAGTTCTCACTACAGGTCTGAGGTGCCACTCAAGTACTCAAGTCTAAGAAACACACACAATTTTCAGTGTTCTGCTGCTTATGAGATGACTTATTTCTCCACAGATCACTCAGGGTGAGCCYCAGAAGTCATGTTCCAAGCCTGTAGCAGAGGAAGTTACAGAGAGCTGCCAGGAAGTTTGCCAATGCAGGCCACCTCCTCTGTTACCACCRCCTCCGCCACCTCCACCGCCCCCAAGGTTGCTGGCGGTGCCAAGTAAGTAGCTACTGGTACAGCTGTGGTGTGCTGAAGGAGGGCAAAGCATCGGGGACACCTGGACAGACAGGAGAGAGGATGTGGGAGAGGGCATAGCTATCTCATTTGTCATTTTCCACTTAGCAAATGGAGGAAGAAATGTTCTCAGTAGAGATGGAGATCAGTTTTCTGATCAATGAGTAATGCTCGGCTTTTGGACAAAAGCCAGAGAAATTCCCTCCTTTCATTGTGTTATATATGATTCCCTGGTTTTAAATGGTTCCCTAATCCCCTAGCCCTGGGAAATGCTTTCCTACAGAGTGCTGTGCTGCCCCTTGAGTTGCATGACCTCCTTTTTTGCCAGGTGTGCAGCTTGAAGGTCTGGGTGCTCCAAGCAGAATTAATTTATAAGCAGACAAAAATCCAAACACTCTGTCTAGACCATTCAGTAGGTTTGACTGTTGTCAAGACACTGGAGCACTACAGTTTACCATAGCAGTGAGTCAGGCTCACTGGTTTTAAATTGCTTACAACTGTTACAAAAATAGAAAGCATGTCAGGAGTCAATGGCAAGTGAGCAGTTTTCCCACCAATGCACATACAGGCTAAGACTCATCTATTTCTCTTCATACAAATCAGTGCTCCCAGGCCTTACCCAGTGCATCCCAGCTCCCCCTAATTTCAAGCCATGCATCCCCATGCTCAGCACACCTGGTGCCTTAAGTTCCTGCTGGCTAGCTGTGCAGCTGCTTCCCACATCATTACTGCTGTGATCCCATTCCTGGAGAATGATTGCTGTCCCCATGGTCTCTGCACAGTGGGACACACCTTCCTGGCTCTACGTGCACCCACTGGCTTCAGGGACACAGACTGGGTACCGGCTGTTTGATATTCCAGTAAATCTCCTTAACGCTTATGCATTTTCACAAATTCCTCTCTCCCTGTAAGGCTGCCTATTAATTCCTGTCCCTGTTTATATAAACTCTCCTGGGAGCTGTGTTGCAAAGTGTGTCTAGCATCCTCAGCTCTACCCCCAAGGAAAAATAAATCATGAGGTATCATCATCTGGCTGTTTGTCTTTATCAGCACCATCTCCAGATGTGCAGAAGACACGAAGAAGGCTTCTGYACAGCTTTTAGTCAGGCAGAGGACAGGCAGAGTTCTTCAGTATATTTTCTGCCAGGAGCATGCTTTGTACWTGTGCTACACTGCAGAAAATTAAGGCAAAGGCAGAGAAAAACCAACAGTGAAACACTTGGGAAAGGAAGTACAAAGAGAGCTGGAAAAGCAGAGAGGGATGGTTTTTATAGCAAGAAAAATCTCTTTCAATGTTCAGGAAAATGTCATGGACAGTAATATTGAAAATTACCTTGATCTTTRTATCACTGCCAGAAAATAAAGTACTTTGTCACTCTGTTTTCTTGTACCTGGGGTACTCTGTTGCCCTGAGGGAGATGAGATGTGGCACAGTGTTGGCACAGGGACCAGGCCTGCTGCCCAGCTGCACTGGGAAGGGAGCACCATTGCCAGGCTGCTTCCTCTCCATCAGGCAGCTGCTCTGAGTGCATGGATTTGTCCCCTGTCAAGTGAGAAGGAAATCATGTCAGAAAAAAAAGACGTCTGTCACACATTGCAAAAAGAAGAGCAAGAAATCAAATGGGCCATTGGCTGGGATAGCCTGATGYATTCCCAGGCTGGATTGCCAGGTGGTAACAGAGTTCTAAAAATGAGCTGTGTAAATCCAGATGACTAATATTTAAGCAAGTGACTTCATTTCAAATACAATGAAAAAAAGAGATTATACATTTCTTTCACTGGTAAGCTTCAGAGTAGCAATCAAGTGCCTCATCTTGAAAGATGCTTTCATTATCATCAGCTGTCTAGGCACTGTGATTTAGTCCATGTGTACAGCACTCCCCTTCCTTGCAAGAAAGAACAAGCCTCGTGGTTAAATATTGATGTTATACATACTGCTTTTAAATGGTATTCAGAGGAGAGGGTAGCAAAGAGCCAAAAGCTGTTGTGAAGTGGTTGATGCTAGCCTTGCACTTTGCACTTACTAAATTAATAAAGTTTAGTACTAGAAAGACTCTGCAAAGAGCAGTCCAGGAGCTGCAAGACTTTTGTTTTTACCAGGCAGAGTGTCTGCACCATGAGGTACTATATAAAGGTGCTGGAATTACTTTTAGGGCTTTGTGAGCCACAAAAGGTTGCAGTCTGCTAGGCACTGCTGTAAAAGCTCTCTCTGCAATCAAACTGAATGTTGCTGGAGATTTAGATCAACTCTAAAACAGCTACCATGATTTGAGCTGGGTGATTAAAGCCAATAAATGCAAAGATCCTGTCTATCCAGTCAYTACAGACACTGCCAGTTCAGTTATCTGCTGTATGAAGCATCTAGTGCTCTTTGACGTGATGTGGGCTCCAGCTGCTGCTGGAACCCTCTGTGTGTCCTCCCTATTGGTTCCACCAGATTGTTTTCCAAAACTTACTTGGTTGTATGGGACGGCACTGCATAACTGTTTGTGAGCCGCTGAATCACTTCTTGAAAGGCTTTTATTGTGCTTGAGGACTTCTAGGAACAATTACAGTACATTTGGCATCTCTTTAGACATTTCAGTATTGACAGGTTGATCCAGCAACAAATCTTTTTCTCTGCTTCCTGGAGACAGATTTATACAAAATGTATTAAAAGAAGAGAATCCTGAAATTCACATATAATAGCTGGAAAATGYTATGTTTACTCTGAGGGGAAATAACCTGATTCCCTCTGCAGAAAATGAGTAGAACCACAGACAGTTTAGCAGGYAGTCTAAAACCACAAGCAGTGGTAGGAGCCCCAGCTTTCCATGGTTTAGGACACCCCTCCCTGTTACAGTTGTATATTTACATCAAGAATGTGTTGGGAGTGTTTCAGCACACCCTAAGGAAACGCTGARTATATTAATCAAACTATGAATATAGAAAATTAAATAGATTGCTTTTGTCCTCMTTCAGGGATGACCCCAGGTCTCCTTTTCCCACATTTCTAACTCCTTCACGTGGACTACTGGTATTTCTGGTGCCTCATCCAACCCCTGCTCTTGCCTTCCCTCTTCCTCTCTGCAGCTGATTYCATCATGGCAGCCTAACCCTGTGCCTCCTTCTGGGAATCCTTCTGCCTGACAGTTATCTAAATGAAGGCTAACATCAGCCATGCTGCTCCCTGTGCATGTTGGTTCTCTCAGTATTGCTGGTTCACCTTTATCTTTTTCTGCAAAGTCGGACATATTGAGAGTATTTCGGTTTTGCCTTTCCTGAGCTTCATTCCAGATGCAGTTTGTTGTCATCCTCTTGAGATACTGCTGTCTGGTTTGGTATAGATGTATTTACCTTACAGAGGGTCTCCAAAGAGAGGGGCTCCAGCCTATGTTAGAAGTAGTTAGGATGGTAGGGACTGTGTGACTGTGGTGAGGACTATCAGGAGACACAGTCTCTGAGCCCCTGGCAGTTCCTCCAGACGGTTTGGTGCATTGATGTTTCTGGAGTAACTCTCCCTTTATGCAAGCAGCAGCCTGCTCTTTAACCCATGCCTAGAAATCTTCTCACTGATGAAGTGAAGGGAAAGCTCATGAGGCTCTGAGGGGCCTAAGGCCAGCTAAACTTAGATGCTGACAGCAAAGGAAGAAGGAACTTTCAATGAAATTGAGTGTGTTCCCTAGATAGGGCTGTAATGACCTGAAGGCAATAGAGATGCTCAGAACCTGGCCTTTAATTAACTGTGTCTTTTTCTCTCCATCTGCTTTCYTCTCTGTCTCTGGATTTCAGCCAAGACTAAGACAAGGTGGATGGAGTGCTTGTTTAGGCAGCATTTCTAACCCAGCTCCACAGACCCATGAGATTAAGCTAGTTCAAATGATGTTGACCCTTAAATGTCTGAAAAACTGCTGTTGTCAACCCTTAAATACTCCGTGAGCATGCAAGTTTCCCTGGGGCATTGCAAAGAAGAAAGGACTTTTTTTGAAAGTAAAAGCTAGGCTTTCAAAACAGGAAAGGGGGMAGGGGTTAGAGCTAGACATACACTGTCACCAGTATTGGTTTTAACCTGTGTAAGCTCTTAGGGAAAAAAAAATCAGAAGAAGCTTCTTTAAAATGGTACAAGGAAGAGAAAGGATGTTCTTGCATGAACTCCTCACTTGTTGGTGAGCAACCTTTGCTGTCTCTGCTCTGCTCATCTCCCGTGTTGGATGAGGGGTCCATGGTATTGCCRTCTGCTCTCTGGATAATGGAAGGGTTCAGTCAAACACTGCTTCAGTCAAAAATTTAGTGGAGGAAACTTAAGCTGAGTCTGGATACATGAACCAGTCTTTGACATGTTGCGTGCACACAGGTACACAGTGAAGTCTTTACAGCTCCTGACCTCAGTGGAAGTTTGCCCTGAGCTGTCAGTTGAGATCACGCACAATCATGTCAGTGCAAAGTCAAAGTGAATGACATCACTGCAGAGGACTCTAATCTCCATGCAGTAATTGTATAATTTTGTTTTTCAAGGTGAAATCTTTATCTTTGGAGATAGAGCATTTAATTAACTAATTACTTGGACTGGTGAAAATGCCAAAATAAAAATGACCAGCTACAAGAAGGGCAAAACCTTTTGGCAACTGTACAAGCTCAGATGTACAGCTTAATTTTGGAAAGCATGCAGGGTCTCTTCAGTGCAAGTAGGAAAGCTAAGGACATTCAGATCTTTGGGGGCAGATCACAGATTCATGGAATGGTTCAGGTTAAAAGGGACCTTAAAGATCATCTCATTCCKCCCCTGCTGCCATGGGCAGGGACACCTTCCCCTAGACCAGGATCCTCAAAGCCCCAGCCAAACTGGCCTTGAACACTTCCAGGTATGGGGAATTCACAGTTTCTCTCGGCAACCTGTTCCTGGGCCTCACCAACCTCACAGTAAAGAATTTCTTCCTAATATCTAATMTCAATTTATGCTCTTCCAATTTCACTCCATTACCCCTTGTCCTTAGCCATACACGCCC